TAGATCCTGCATTTCTAAGAAAAAGAAACAAACCAAGAAAAACTGCCAGCATTGTCCTCAATAAACTGCAGAGGAATCACAGATACAAAAGATGGAAAAATGATTAAAATCTCACACTTTGATATAGCTGGCCCTAATTTTTCATCCCTGTATTATGCACTTGAGTGGCTCCAGAGTCATTCAAACTGAAAGTGGAGGAATCCAGACTGTTTTGCTGCTCATATTTTACATATCAGAGCTTAGAACCAACCATCATCTCCCTGGTGTCACAACTCGGGATTTATGTGACCCTCACTAGCAACCCTTTCAGTGCCATCCATCTCTGACATGTTCTGTGTTGTTGGAGGGGTTAACTGGAAAACCATTTCTGAAACGTGTTTTTAGTTATTACATGATACACACCCCTCTCTTTTTGTGCTTATTCATTTATTTTAAGCCAGCATATTGTGGCAATTATGGGGGAATTTGCATTGTCCACTGACATCTGAAATTCCATTATCTAGTGGTGATGGAGTTCAGCATTATATCCATGGGCCAAACTTTCAGGACTTGTTTTCTTTTGGTTTTGAGTAGCGGGTTTAGACAACATTGTCTTGGTCCTCAGAGTAAAGCACATGTGAAATAAGATTCTTTAACCCCCTTTTTCCTGAACAAAGGTTCTGTGCTGGGGATTCAGGCACTCAACTGGTCTATTCTGATACTGAATACAATGCAGGATGCCTTACACTAAGCTTTGCTAAGATGGAAAGGCAAAGGCTAAAGCAGGAATAAGACTCGCACATCAGTGTTTGGTCTTGGTTTATTGCTCTGTGTCTACAACTGTATTTGAGCTGTTGTGTGAACTTCCCCCCCCTCTTCCCCAGTTTGATCACTTTAAAACTAATCTGTCCATAGGCAATCACAGGAGCAGGAGCAGGGCGTGATGATAGGTCTACTTACCCAAAATAGCTCATAATACAAACACCAACAAGGCTGAAATTGCTCCCTCTGGACTGACCTGTCAAGCATGAAAACGGCTTTTTTTTTCCTGAAAAGCCAAACCATTTACAGGTTGTTTGGATGGCATGTGTGGTGGGAAAAGGCATTTTAGAGAGAACATTTGAATCCGTACATCTGCCTGACACATGGTGTGTTCCAAACAAGATGTTCCCAACTCCACCAGCCAAGCTTTATGGGCCAGTTCAATAGTATTTGTGAAATGCAGGTCGTTTGAATGCAGAGTAGCACAGCAAGATCCACTGCTTCACAGTCTGTAAGGGAGTGAAGCACTCCTACTGTTTGCTTGGATTTCACCTTGAGGTTGCAAAGTCAAGTTAAACCCCACTTTTTTGCATTCCCAGCCATAAGCCATAGAAAGGTCACATACTTCTTCAGACAGGAATGCAAACGCGGGACAAGGTTTTCCTTGTATAGGTAGCTCATGTGATTTATAGTGCTGCATTTAGCCCTGTTGGAGCAAATTAAGGGAGAAAAGCAGCAGCATAGACATGGCCTTGAGGGATGTATTTTGTTCTCTTGTAGCGCCTCTCCTTGCCATGCTTTACCTGCTGTAGAGGCCCAGAGCACAGGTCACTTCAGAAACAGTGACCAAAGCTGGCCCTATCACATATGAGGAACAAAACCATATCTAAGATGTACAAAGCAGTTTCAAACAGGGATTAGAGATAACTCTGGAGTCACAGGAGCTGATCTTGGCCTCTTATGCACTAGGGGTCTAGAATTCCAACTCCTGTTATCATTTTGGATGTAAGCAAATGGGATTCCTATGTCTACAGAGGGCTGGGCAAGCACACACCATTTGCTGTAAGGCTCTGAAGGATTTTTAAAAGGCCTGAAGCTTTGCCAATCTCTCCTGGCTCCAAAGAGTACAACAGACATGGCGCTTACTGTAGTCACTGAAAAGTGAGAAAGCATCTATAAAGGAAGAACAGGCAGCACTGTGTTAATGTCAAAGCATAGATTTTATGCTGGGAGCTTATCTGAAGAGAGACAACAGGAGGGAAAGAACAAATCCATGAGCTATCAGAGATTACTTTCCAGTAACTTTAATATTCAGATCACTATCAAGAAATCCAGTGAAAGAAAATACTTTCTGAAGTGGGTTTTGTTCTGCACATTAAACTGTGTTTAGAGCCCAAGTTCCTCCCCCCTTGCTGTAATGTGAATCCAGAGGGTGCTGAGGCTTGCCAGAAAGCATTGCAAACCTGTCCTACCCCAGACAGACAACGAAGAGGGAGGCCTGATGTAATATTATATATACACACCACACTGCCATTTATTGCCATTAATACCTCTGCTAGCTCTCCCAGTGTTGCTGGTTAAAGTCCAACAAATCCCCTGCCATCCTCCAACACCACCTCTCACACCCATCAGGCTCCATCACCTCCCACAGCCTTGTCTGTTGTTATACTGTACCTTTTCCTTTATTATTACCTTTATTCAGAGGGCAGAGGATGTGCTGCCAGTGGATTTGGGGAGCAGGGCAGAGGAGCCAGAGCTCAGCTGAGGTGAGGGTAATCAGCACCAAGGCAGTCCATAGGTGCACCAAGCCCCTGAGAGTTATTGAGTCCAAATGCCATTATTCCTCCTCCTTGCCCTGCCTCCATGAAATCTGCATCCTTCAGTCTTTTCCCAGCTAAGCAGGTCTCAAACTGTGAGCGAGTCACAGAATAAATTACAGCAGAAGCACAGGGAAAACAAAGTTGAGTATTTGCTGCCATAGGATGCTACTCTGAGCTGAGCATAGCATTTGCCACAGCATTTAATTTGGCTCTTAAGCCTTGCTACATGCCACCTAAGAGAAGCACACAGAAACATTCCTCTGTTTCTTATGAATATCAGCTATAGGCTCCTTTGTACATGGAGAAGAGGCACTAAAATCAGTAAGCTCAGAAGCATCAAGCTGGAAATTGGCCTGCAGAAGAGGAGCTAAAATTTATGAAATGCAGAAGCAGCATCTCAGTGTAATAAGTCATAAGCCATATGAGCTGCACGATGACTTCTAGCTTTTTACTATCAGTGACTATTTCACTTACATTACATATTGCGATGCACCACCCCTTAACCCTCTGCATCCTGCAGCTGATCAACACAATGCCACATTCATACAGGGCTGCTGCTGTAATCATACACTGTAACTACACACAGACACGTCCAGTAAAATTGACTTAATCACACCTTTGACCTACTCTGCATCCATACAACTAATGTCCAGATATACACACAACACTGGGAAACGTCACAATGCTGTAGGGAAAAAGTGCCAAGGAGAGATTTTTTACAGTCATGCAAACGCATCATTTTTCTAAGAAAGCAGGATTCTTTGAGGGTGGTAACACTGTCTCCTCCTTCAATCTTTTCAACTTTCAAGTCCTCTATGTCATCCTTCAACGCAGCAAAAACCTGGCATCACCTGACCTGACTAGCAGAGGAATCAGAAGTAGCCTCATAGAGTGAGATGAACTTTTAAAGTAACTCCTAGAATAGCTTTTCTGGAGCACACGCTGTAAGACAACACACATGAAGCTCTGCAAAAGTCCTTTTCTGGCATTCATTGGTGATGACTCACAGCAGTCACCCCTGCTCCGGTCTGATGTAACGTGATTGTTTACCCCAGATGCCAATCACAGCACTCCACTATCCCGCACAGCACATTTGAGCTCACATGCACGCTGAGGCTTTGGAAGTCGAATACAAACTCATCATTCCGTGCTGACAGTCCTAAATGACTTGAAAAGAAACCCAACCAAACCAAACCAACAAAACAAACTTGCAGTAAGACCGCTGTGCCAAGCCTCATGCCACAGTCAAGGCTAAAGGATTTCAGTTCACATTCCTATGCACAGGCTCAGAAGACTGACAGAGAAATTCAAGCTTCCAAAAAAGAAAAGTTCAACGTTCAGCAAATGTGAGGAAAAAAAAAAACCAAACCTACTAATGTAAGCAAACTTTATGGTTTGACTTTAGAAGGGTTGTTTTCCCTCATTCAGCTCAGGACACATTAGTTAAGTTCTTTAAAACACTGCACTAAGAAGCTAAAACATACTGTATTACTATTATTGTATATAGCATAATATCTCAATTCACATACCCTCTCCAAACCCTTGCAATTTACTCCCTTTAAATAACAAAATACTGCATTAATATTAGGTGCAGTTTCATGTTTTGCCTAAGAGCTGAAGAAAACGCACTTAGTTTTATATTTAACTATTTTATTTCATTTCTTTCATTTACTACATTTCACCGTCTACATTCCCAAATATTTCAAGTAAAGTTCTGCAAACTTTCTGCATGTTCGGACACTCAATAAGGCACTTACAAGCAGCATTAAACAAGGTCATTTAACACTGTGGAGCTGTAATAGCTGCAGCAGGCGTTAACAATGATTCCCCCTTCCCTTCTCTTTAGCAGCTCAAGTTACCCTTTTTCACTATACAAAGGAAAATAGCAGCGCTGAAGGTAAAAATCAGTACCAAACTGATTGCAAGCATCAAACTTAAGTATCAAACACATGCCTTGGAGGGACAACAAAGTGTGGAAGCTTCAACAACAAAACGAAACAAGTAACAAGCACGTTTGTCCCCCTTCGTTCCCCCCAAGACTATTTCCCGCTCCTTGCTCAACTTCCATGCTGTTTCCCACCCGGATCCCCTGCAGAGCACGGTGCGGAAAGCAGGGAGTTAATCCCACAGTTTCAACTGGTGTGAGCCTTTGCTGCTAACTTGAATTTGCGGAGCAACCTCTCCTTATAAAAAAGGAAGAAAGAAAGGAAAAAAAAAACCTCTCTTCACTGTAACACTGAGAAGTGTATTTTAAAAGCCTCCCTCGGGTCTCTCTAAACATCTGCTCAAAGGTTTGCTGTATCTTAAAAGGGCTCTAATTGCCAGAAACTTTTCTCTTACTTAAGCCCAGGGCTCACATTCCGATTATAACTCAAGCTCCCGTTAATTTACGGCTAAACCAAAAATGCCTGTACCAAACCGAAGAAAGCATAGGCCTACCTTAAAACTTTCCAGCTTTTCAGAGGATCCAAGTCAGAGATTATAGACACCATTGCAGGAATAGTAAAAATAAAATATATATATAAGAAGGAAAAAAAACAACCCCACGGCAGGGAAGCCTAACCACAAAAGCAGCAAGTACTCTACTCAGTGTGGGAATGACAACAAACCCAGCACAGCTCTTCCTCCTTCTCAAGCTGATAAGCACTTGTCCCAGCTTCTCTCCACCCCCAAAATCAATCTTGTGCTATATTGCTTCACAGTCCCAGTTTCATTTCTTTACCACTACCTTTTAAAGCCCTTGTAATCTGCTCCAACTGATCAAATTTGACCTTTTTGTAGCCCACTTTATTCCAAGCACAGCCCTCAGTTAAATCTCTCTTTATTAACACCGTCCTTCTTGGCTTTCTCTTGGAGCAAACACAGCTCAAGCTTGAAGCCTCCAGTCTTTGCCAGCAATCATTTACAGATTACTGCAAGCTGCAGTCTTCTCCTTTTGGGTATTTCCTTCTACCTCTGAGGTTTAGCTTTTATATTATTTCCTGAAGGTTGCTGGGGGCTTTCCCTGTTCTGTGCAGGTTGGAGTCTGACACCTTTAAAGGAGGGACTTAACGCAATTCCCTCTCCCACCCTTTTCTCCTCCCCTTACCCCTGGTATAGACAGGCAAATGCACACATCAAAACCAGTTCACAACCTTTTGAGTACGGAATCGTCGTCGTTGTGTCCCCCCTTTATGTTTTAAAAGCCATTAGACTTGTGAGCTGAAGCTGTGACTGAAAGCAGCCTGATTTGTATGATGGTGGAATAATATAAAGCCTAACCCTTTGGGTGTTTGAGAGCGGGGAGGGGGGGGAAGGTGTCTGTATAATTCTGTTAACTCCATTTCTTCTGTCTGTTGCTACATAAATGAGTAGTAAAGCATCCTCCAGATCACTGTGGTGATCTGAAAAGTTGTGTAACTGCTGATAGTGTGTATTTATGTGGGAAAATCTGGATGTGCGGCTTATTTTGTGTTTCTGTAACACTTCTGGACATTGATTTCCGTATATGTAAAGATTTATCTTCTGCATCCCCACCCCCCCACCCCCCCCGCCAGTGTTTTCCTTTCATCATGTGAATGACTGTACCCTCTCCTTGAGCTCCACTGATTCTTGGGATTGCTAGAAATTCCCAAATTAAAATTCGGGGGGAGGGGGGGGGGGGAGCAAAACTGCACTTTATGAAATGCCCAATCCGAACCAAACTAGCCCAAATGACGGATGACGGAAAAAAAGTAAAAAAAAAAAAAAAAAAAAAGAAATAAGTTCATCCCCTGTATGTTAAAAAGAAGCAGTACTGTGGTCACGTAGAGTTCTGGTAATGTGTGGGATCACACGCTCATGGAAACATAATAAGGGGTACAATAAGGTCTTTTGAGGCTGCTTTAAGTCTTCCACCACCACTTCCTTTGGAGAGATAGAACTTGAGCTATGTCTAAACAGTTTCCAGGGCTCTCTTGTATGCTGTAGGCTGCTTTGGGGCAGGCTGGCTCCCCCTCTCCCCCTTGTTGGCATCCCTATAGTACAAAGGCAGCACAGTGTTGCCCTTGCCAGGAGGTGACACTGAGGCTTCCCACTGCCCTGTGACCATCTTGCCTGCCAGACAGCAGGCAGGAGATAGTGGGGTCAGATAAAACAACCGGGTTTAAACAACCTAGATACAAAATGCCTTCTATGTTCAAAGGCCAGTACATCACTGATCCCTCATTTAAGGGAAATGCACCCTGAGCCCCCTCTGGCCTCTGCAAGTGGGGCCCCAAGTTCAGACCTCTGGATTTTACACCCTCCCCTGGGCAATGGCTCCAATGGCTCTGCTTTGTCTCTGAGGGGTGTAACAAGGGTAAACACATCAGAGACTGCTGCTGGTGAGACTGAAGATGCATATCTGGGGGAGGAGGACGGCTGGGTGTTACAGATGCCCCATCTCCCTCTTAACAGGCACAGGGTGTTTCTCACCTTATGCACACATATCTCTGAGCACTTCTTCGGAGATAAGGGTTGTATCCACCTCTGGAAACTTTGAGGCCATATATTAATTTACCGACAGGAGGTGGGTTACATGCTTGCCATGGAAAATGAAATTCAATCCGCACTTGTCATGTGTTTCTTTGTGGAGCTCAGGAAACCTTCATTTATAGCATGGGAAGCGATTAAAAAGAGACTGGACAGTGTCTTTTCCTTCCAAAAGTTTGTAAACCACTGTTATACAGGCTAACCCCTCACTTGAGGCTGGGGACGACATAAGTGGTTACATACACTGTCTTTTCTACTGTCAAATTTTCTGGGTTTAGAGCTATATTCACACATTGTCCCATATAAACCCCTCACTGAACATCTCATATTGATGGCCAGGCTCAAATTAGCAAAGGCTTCAAGCTTAGCCTGCAAACAAAAAAAAAGAAAATCAAAATACCACTCTATCACGTCCCTTTGACAAGCCCGATTTGAGTCCTTGTCACATCCTACCCATCCACTCCTGTGCAATAAGAAAGAGGCAATGATGCTCTGCACTTCCACCCCACTTCGGGACCTGACTGGTTTCTAGTTTCTGTACTGGTAAGGAGTAGGTGAGAGGTACAAGGGTAAGAGACCTTTACTTTGAGGCTGGATGTTTGTATATGCCTAGACTTCCAACACAAGGAGAGGAGGATCGCAATTTACCCCGATGTGGAGAAACCAACACCAAGAGCAACAAGTGATCCCCTGTCCCGCACTTCAGGTGAGTGCCAAACTGCACCAGGATGCTGAGCATCTCTTACTCTGTTCATCCAGAAATTCCACAAACTATCTCCATGTCTAAAATTTTCTCTCTTAGCAGTATATTTTATACTTTCTGTAAACCCAGTTTTGATTGCGCAGAAAACACTCCATTATTTCCTCCACATGAAAACTATACCATAGAAGTTAAGATTCTTATTCCTTTCATATTTGAAACTATTTGTGGTGGTTTTTATTATTTTTATCTTAAACTGAAATGAAAGCCAGGTCTCCCTTTTGCTGGACCTGGCTGTCATTGTGCCGTCTTTTCCCTCCAACATTGAAGAAAGCAACTATAAGCTTGCTAAAAATAAAGCTAGAAGATTAAGTTTAGCACAGAGAAACTTGTGGCAGGCAATGGATTTTCCAAAACAGCCTCACGTATTTCATGCAGCGTGTAGCTATAGTAGGAGAAAACAAATAAAACAGAAACTCAGTGCAAGATTATATTAACTCTTGCTCTTGGATAGTGGTGCTCCAGCCCATCTTTTAGTTCAGTGTGGTTTTCTGTTGCGGTTAAGAACTTTGTCTTCAAAACTGTAATTTTTATGCTTGAAGTGAAGAAATTTCCTATGATCTTCGCCTTGTTTGCCAAAACAGCCAGCACATCTGTGAAACATTACTTGAGCAAATTTATCACACTTAGCCAGAAGGCAACAGCTCTTAACATTTCCTCTACCTGCTGAAAACCAGCCTATTGCATACCTTTGGTTTCTCATGCCATAACATGCATGAGCTAGCAAGAGCTTGGCAGTTCTCAGTTAATATGATAAAGAAGTATAAGCTTTCCAAGATTCTGAGTCATGTTAAAGTAAATATACATATATTCTTTTGAAAACAGTATTCGCATATACACACATACACAAAAGGATCTCTAAGCAATGTCATCACCCTTAGTTTAGACAGCTGTGGAGTCAAAAACGTTCCAGATCAGCTAGCTACAAACATTTGAAGGTCAAGTACAGGACAAAGCCTTTAAAAAAGGCAGAAGCAGTGATGGCTACTGAGTATTAGAAAGATGGTTTTATGTCTTGAGAGGTTTTTTCCCAGCTGTTTCTTTACCAGAAACCTATTGGACTGAGGAATTCATAGCGCTGGGCAGGAAAGTAAACCTAGTAAGCAGTTTGCGTTGGTTATTTAATCTTCTTTCAAGGGTGTTATCTCATTCAAAATATTTTAGGAGCCAAGGAAGGTCTGCCAAAGCACGACCTCTTAGTCAGGATGCCCAACAGCCTGGTTATCAGGCAATAATAAAATAAATAACCTCTCTAGAGAGAAAAATAACCGTCCAGCATCTTCCCAACACATATTTTCCACCGCTCTTTCATACAAAGCAATATTAAGTTATTTGAAAGAAATCCTGGTCTTCTACCAGGAAAACCTCACTGTCTCTAGGGAGCCTGCTGTTAAACAAGAGCTTATCTATTAGAGTGGCCTCCAACTTCAGGGCTGCTGTTGTGGGCTGATAAAGGCCCTTCTCCAAAGTGCCTCATACTGTCCCTCCCCACCAGCATAGCCACCCCCCAGCCTCTCCTCCCAGTGTCTAATGCCTGGCCTTTTAAGCAATGGAGTGACTAATTGAAAATCCACTCCAGTGCTTTACAAGCAGCTTTTCCTTTCCTGCTGACCAGCCAAATGTTCTGAAGCTGGCAAGATGCTGTTTTAACTTGGGAACTCGAGCGCTTGTTCATGACCTGGATGTGTGAAGAAAGAAATCTGTCTGAATTCAATAATTCTGTAAAAAAAAATAAAATATTAAAAGTCTCACTTCTAGAACTTGTTTGAGTAAATCCAAGCATTACAAATCTCTAATGCAAGTCCATTCTCTCTTTGTGAAATACATGACCTGGAAGACAAGAAATTGTAAGCCCTAAGTTTATGAAATGCACCAGGGCTTGGACACAAGTACAGATAAAGCAGTTACAAGCAGGCATAAATCCAATTGACAATTACCCTTTGGGAAAGAGCACCGTAACTGGAACATGCTGGAGACAGTAATCACTGATTCATGGCCAGTCAATGTCCATCCAGTCTGGGATTCAGCACATCTTATCACACATAGCGATTCAGAAGCTGGCTTCATCCGCAGCTTAAGAGATTGAAGGGGTTTGTTTCTTTGCTAAGCAGCAGGCCTGATTGTACAAAGCTAGCACTTCAACAGTTAATCATTAGTCTGAAGTTACATACATGTGTCTCATACTTACCGACTTCTCACTTTTAGAAAGTCTGCAGAGACAAACTTTCAAGAGATGGGTTTTTTCTTTTATAACTCTGATTGTGATTTTAATGGATTTTCAAGTACTTTTAGGTTTTGCTTATGACAACTGCTACAATAAAAAACCTCATGAACAAAGATGTGTTTTGTGCCTATTCACACCTGGCAGAAAATTACTATTAGGGCATAATTTATTATGGGAGCAATGCTTTCCAGGCTCTCTGTAAAGACAGTCTTCCCCAAACTCACATCGTTCTAATTGTGTTTGTAGTTTACTTTAAGCAGCATATGAGTCAAACCTTTGCTAAATTTCTCTTTTTTGGCTAGTAGGAGGAATTCTTCATTCTGCAGCACTGGTAGACCAAGAACACTTCTGTAGTCCAAGGCAGGGCTTGCCCTTCCTAACCCAAAGCAAAGAAGGAAGGAAAAGAAAAGCTTCTTGTATTTGCCAGACATGTTCAAAAAGAGCCACTTGC